CAATCATACTGATACGAACCGGACTTTCGAGTAAAAATCGAATCACGTGGATAATGGCGGGAGTTGTTAATTTTAATTATGATTTAGATATGATTATTATGTTAGATTCTTTTTAAATTTAAATATGTTAGTTAGTTAGTTGTAGTTTGAATTTAAATGTTGTGTGTGTATTATAAATAGGACTTTGTATGCATGTTTGGAAAAAGGAAGTTTAATGAAATAAGAAACAAGAAAAAAGCTCGTTCTGAGTACTATCTTTGTGAAAAACGGATGCCGATAGTGCAGGTTTTTCACTTATTTATGTGTAAATCAAAGCCGTCAATGCGAGTTTACACATTTTATCGTGTTTGAACCAAGGCCGTAGCACGGATTCTTACGTAAAATCGAGTCCGGATATACGATATTGATCACATACCTTAAACAACACAACCACAACACGCAAAATGATTTCTATAAGCAGTTGTAAGTTTTTTTTCTTTTTGTTCTTTTTACTTTTTCATTTCCTCCATCCGATAAAATTCCCTATGGAAATTGGAAACTGTCAACCACCACAATATTCATTCATATAGTATGAAATTGGTAATGTAATGTCAAGAGTCTCATAATTATAATATAACAATATATTAATTATTGTTCCTGTGATGAATGGCCGCGGGATGATACTTGAGAATCCACCTCCACACCTTGCGACTCTTCTTTTTCTTCATCACCCCCCTCTCCCTCTCCTCCGCCGCCGCCGCCGCCGCCGCAATCCCGCCGACGCAACCCTTCCTATACCCCAACTGATCGAACGGCCCCTCTCCCCCTCCGCCGCGATCGGGGCCGCAAAACTCCGACAGATCGACCCTCAGATCGATGAAGGCCGACTCGTCCACGCCGCGAAAATCGCTCTTCCTCGGCTCCGTGAACACGCCACTGGTGACGTCGGAGATTTTGGCGCTGGAGAAGGCGCTCCGGCTCTCATCGTCCCTGAAGCTGCACACAGATCTCGATCTGGAGATCCCCATCGCCTCCGGGACCCAGATCTCGCTCCTCCCGTCATCATCTCCGCCGTCCGCGTGCTTTGATTTTTTCCTCCGGAAGAGGCGCTTGATCCGCCAGAGGCCGCCGCTCCTCCGCACCTCCACGCAGCTGCTGGTGCTCCGCCGCAGGAATATCACCGGCGGCGGCTTCTGGTCCCGATTCCTGTCGTTCTCGATGAGGAAGGAGACGCGGCCGACCTCGACGGCAGAGCAGTAGGAGTTGCGGTGGGATGAGGAGGAGACGCCATCTGAGCAGGAGCAGGACGAGAGCCTCTGCTCCCCGCAATCGGAGCACACCAGTCTGAGAAGCCGGTCCTTGAGGCAGTAGGGGCAGATTCCGACGGCCGATTGAATCGGGTGTTTAGGGCACGGCATTTCCGAAGATGCGCAGAAATTGAAGTCCTCGCAGCCGATCGCCGCTTCTTTGCCCCTCTCTCTCATTGCTAATTTAGTAGAATTGTCTAATTGAAAATTGAAGGAGGGGAGTTTGGATTTAAAGGAGAAAAAAAATGGGGATTATTAGACCTTTCTAGTGTGTTTTTTCTCTCTTTTTGCTCTTCTTTGGGGCTAGAGAGAGAAAAAGATATTGCAGTGAGATTAGGATTACTATGAAAATGAAAGATGGAGCAAGCAGCAGCTAGTGTTATTAAAAAATTGTACTCCAGTATTTCTTTTGGGGTAAAACAAAAACAGAGGCGTGAGCTTTACGTTTATTAATTTGCTTTACAGAGTAGAAAAAGAAGTAGAGAAGAAGAGGGTTGGTAGATTGATTATTGAGGAAGAGTGTAGTTGATTTTGATGTCAGTGTTTTTGGTGGCTTGCTGTCGAGGTATGATTAAGTGTTGGTGTGTTGGTGTGTTGGTGTGAAGTTGAAGTAAAGTGGGGGACAATGTTTGTGAGTTTGAGTAAAGGAATGGAAGTGTGAAAGTGTGTTATGTTTAAGTTGAGAGTTGAAAGTGTTTGTTTCTGTGGGGGACGCATTCATCAACTCTTTTTGTTTGTCTGCTTTTTGCACTAAATTCTAGACATTGTATGTATATAAAGTAGAACACTACGTCTACATATGCAGTGCTACTACCGTGTGTCCTGGCACACCTAGCAAGGTGTGCCAGAGCAATTTAAAATGAACATGTTATGTTACAAAATGAACATGTGCAAACATGATTTATACATGTTCGTTTTGTAACATAACATGTTCATTTGTGGCACACCTTGCTAGGTGTACCAGGGCACACCTAAGTATTTGCGCTACACATGTGGTATCATTTAGTCATTTTTTCCTCCATACTAGTATAACACTTTTATTTATGACATAAACATAGCAATGTCCTGTCGCTCTGCATCTAGTTTTACTTTAAAGTAGTGCGAAAAACGTGTTACCATATTGTAATTTTATTTTAATATTAATGTTCACTGCACAATTTTTTTTATTTCATAATTGATTTTTATTTTGACAAAGTATACATTGACAAGATTATTCATTATGTTAAATAATTTTAAATTCTGGCATTCTCTCCAGGGTAGATGATTGAAGATGACGTCAAAGAGCCCACAATAGTTCGTGTCTTTCTGTGAAATGTCGTCAAGATGCATGATCAGACAGTGCAAATTAGAGACAATTGTTGGAAAAGAATCGGAAGCAAGGGGGATCAAATACAAATCTAAAGATTGATGAAAGACTTAGAGACAATTGTTGAAAGACCATTATTTTTAGCACATGCCAATTAGTGATTGTAATGTTAATCCACATTGGAATAATATTAAAAGACTAAAAATATTAATGAAACTAGTATCTCCAATGCATCAATTTGATAAAAAGTTAATTGTATAGGTGGACCAATTAAATAATTCATTGATACAAAAAAAATAAAAAATTAAAACAAATATAAAGTAAATTGATGAGTCATCATGTTTAACATGGTGTTAGATATTAGAAAGTGTGCTCAACATTGTCAACATTAAATGACATCCACCTCATCATGAAAGAGTTCATGACAAGATGCATTGGAGAAAAAAATAGAGACACACTTTCAAAAGTTGATGATATGGATGACTTTTTATAATGTCAAAAGTTGCATTGGAGATGCTCTAAGGGGTCATATTGATTGGTTGTACTTTGTGAAAAATTACAGACTAAATTCTTTTCTTTTTCTTATATTTATAAAATTATTAAGTATATCAATTAAATTATAATTACAATTACATATCTCAATAAAATAGGATTCTAACAAAAATAAAATTCTTAACAAAATAAATCGAAGCAAAAGAGATTTTAGATAGATAAATAAAATATTCACTTATCAATAAAAAATTATTAAAGGAGATGCAAACTATTTATAATTGTATTATAATATATTTCTAATTAGTATGTGGAACAAATAAAAGTAGGAAAATTACTATCCTCAATTTAACAACATACAATATTAAGTATAAAATATTATAATATAAATTTATTACAATTCTAAATGTATATTATTTTTATATTACTAATTACATAACTACATGTCATAATAAACAAACTTGATATACAATAAGTATATAAAATTTACATGAAACATAACATATAAAACTACCAAAATGCCTTTTTTCGAGAAAAAATAGAGCATAAAGTAGGACAGGTGAGAAAAAAAAAGTAATAAAGAAAAACACATGATATAACATGAAAGAAAACAAAAAATATATTTTTCACATGAATTTATTAGCAAATGTTAAAATACAAAGCATATTACTATTATTATTGTTGTTGTTGTTGTTATTATTATTATTATTATTTTATATTTTATTACTTTTATTCCTATTTATATTGAATTTCTAGAATTAAAATGTTTGAACTCAATAATAAATTGATTATAAAAACAATAATGTTAACTAATATAAACTTTTATTTTATTATACTATGAATATATAAATTATGTACTACATAGTTTAGTTTATAGTTTAGTTATAAGATGTCTTTCATTAAAGTATAGTTTGACACTATTTTTATTAATATTTTTCTCGAAAAACTCAATTTTAAAAAGTAACAAAAACTTATAAACCGAAATATAATGATGAAAACTACCCTATAATAGAACAATAAACAACGTGTAAGTGAATTAAATGTGATGACATATTGTCAAATTTATGAACATTGATTACTTAAGATATCTTTTATATTTGATATATTTATAATAGTAAAACTATAATTATAAAAATTAGTAAAAGAGGCAAAAGTATAATTTATTATAAAATAATGAGTATACATAATAACAAATAAAATTCAGTTAACTAAAAGTAATTGAATGTAATTGTCAAAGAAATTATAAAATATTTCAGCTTTGAATGAGATCTTTTTCCTTACCTATAAATATCACATTTGATACATGTTTTCTCATGATGAATTATATAAAATACATTGATATATTTTTACGAAGTTAATATAAAAATATAAAATATATAACACATAAATATATTATATTTTATAAAATATTAGGGTTCAAAGTCGAAGTGACAGAAGGTACGCATCCAACTTACTTTGGATTCGAGTCTGAAAGGTCAATTTCAAATACACAAATTATCTTTTAATTGTTAATATCATAAACTAACTGTTTTGATTCTTTTTTAATCACTCCTGAAACTAATACATGATTATGCAATAAACCAAACATCTAGATATTTAATGTGCGAAAATATAATATAAATAAAATATAAATGGCACCCAAGAGCACGTGGGTGAGATGGTTGGAGTTTCTCCCAGCTTAACCAGAAGTCTCGAGTTCGAGCCCTGGGAATGCAGCTGTGTTAAAACTCTTGAGGTAGAGCTTTGCCGCCCTTGTGGTCCTACCCGGCTCGATTCCGGATTAGTCGGTCCCCTAGGGGATTCGGAAACCGGAAGGTTCATTGTACCAAAAAAAAAAAAAAATATATATATAAATGGCAAAATAGCTTGTTATATTATCCCAAATTGTAAAAACATCACGACTTTTGCACCTTGACGCAGAATACCATGACATTTGATTTCTTTGCAGAACGATACATCAAAGTTAGAAACCGGTCATCGATGCTTATGTGTCCAACCAACCTTTTATTACATGGAATTAAAAATCTGATGTATATATAATTGTCTTACGTGTATCCAGGTCATCAGTTTTTGAGGTGTAGGTTGGGAAGGGAGTTGAGGGAGAGATTGGGCCAAGGGGATAGGCCCATAGATAACAATGAATTAATTTGGTACATTAAGCGTGCGTGTATACAAATATATCTGCTCAAAATTTGTCACCATCTCAATTGTGTTTGGATCTACCAAAAGTGCAGTTCTCTCCGCAAAGGAATAGCAAAAACAAAAAACGTTGATCGATTGGTTTTGGAGAGCTAACCTCAAGTTGCAGCCAATAAAAAGTAATAATAATCATGCTCACGCTTCTTTACTAGTTATCCTGCATTAAATGGTAAGCATACAAATTAGATATACAGAACAGCAACATAGTAAACCTGATTTTATCAACTCTTAATGACACAATGAATCGAAAATGACAGGTATTTTTACCTGAAGCAGTATATTCCCAGTGCTGATGTTATTTCATGAATGACTGATGTAGCAAAATGCAGATAAAGTACAACTGCATGGAAAAAAAAAGCAAAACTTCAAATTCCACGCAGCATTAACGGGATAAAAATAATAAAAATGGAAATGAAGATAATTGTTGGAATACAACACACTGCAGAACTCGTAAAAGAACCAAGTACCTGCGTACCCAAAGAAACCAAGAAGAACCCAGAACTCATCAACTAAAGGAGCCCTGCAATAGAATACAAAGGTCACAAAAGCATGAAAATAAAATAGGATATGTAGCATTTCATTAACATATATTCATCAAATGGAGCTTTAAGTCATTACGCACCCATCATTAAGCCTAGCAGTGAGTGCATTTGCAATCGCAAAAGGCAGATAAAATAATGACTGCAAGGGTGAAAAAGAAACACATAAGTTGAATTAGTTAACAAAAGAGTTTAGATAATTAAGTTGTACAAGTACTTGTTTGGTGGTAAAAATCAAACTGCAAGCTGAATTTATAAATCTACAGCACCAATTCCACCACTTCTGATTTAACTATACATAGCAGAGGTTGACATTTGTGAACACTAAAGACTATTTTCTTATCCAAAAGCTAGCAATCACTTTTTCTTTATGAATAGCAAATACTCCTAGTGGATCAAGAACTTCTGTTATGGTGCGGTAAGTGGTGATGTATAATATGGACTTACCATGCACATGCTTGTTTTCAAACCCTTGGGTTCGTCACATAAATGAGCAAGAATCATCCTACCCTGCAAAAACAAACATTACTATTCACCAACTATTAAAGCGCCTAAACCACAAGGCTACAAGTATTATGCCCTCTAAAAGTTTCATAAACCAACACAATAACCTCAACTGTGTCAATCATGTACAGCAGCAAGAGTAACCAATCTTGCCTCAAACACATCAATCACTCACATCCAAAATATAGTAATCAGCTTTAACAAGAAAGAATAATTCAAACATGTAGCTGATAATTTTAGAGAATAATGTTTCACGTTATGCTACTACATGAGAGAATTTCCAAAAAAATACACCTACAACTGCAACCATGTTACATTTTACTATAGAAATGCATCCACTAGAAAAAAAATAAAAAAAAAATAAAAATAAAAAAATAAAAAATTCTCACCACAAGAAACACAAATGCAAGCCCTATACTGAGTATGACCAAGTGAGGGTAGTTATTCATTAAGCCAGAAGTAGACAAGTATTCCCTGCAAAGTCACACTCAATGATGTAGATCATAAACAATAATCGAAGGGGAGGGCAGAAAAAAAAAGTAGATCATTGAGTGTGATCATAAACAATAATCGAAGGGGAGGGCAGAAAAAAAGTAGATCATGGCAAATTTAGGAGTACCACAACAGAACACCACCCAGAAGCACAATGAAAGGATAGAGCTGTCAAGAAAAAGGGCATGACATTAAGACAAAACATAGAAAATTCAATACATCCATTAATATTATCTTTGTCAAACTTGCATACCATCGCCAAAGCCAGCACCATGCTTCCTTTTCTTGCCTTCACAACCTTATAAACATTGTATACACTGCAACGAAACAATGTAAAAGTAAAGCACATTCAAGCTTCCAATATGCTAAACGTGTAGAAGCAGAAGTAATCTAGAGGTTGGGCAAAACTACTGTGAAAATTTTGACTAACTACTAAGATAGGAAACGATTCTCATTTGAACTGTCAAGTTCATTTATTTGACAACCCCTTGGTTCTACAAAAGATATGATTTCCGTCCAAACCATCACTGAAACAATACTCGATAAGTTTCATTAACAAACTGGATGTTCAGAGTAAGTTGAAATTGGATAAATAGTTTCCTCTAGATATAAAAAGAAACTGAACTTACTTGAACGAGATTGTGGGGATAACTGCAAAAATTATCATTAAATACAATGCAGCCTTATACATTGTGAGTTCTGTTCAGGAAGAACACGAGTAAAGAAAATGCAAAAATAGTGAGATGATCAGACACCAAGCAAAAACATAAGAAAAGTATAACAGAGAAAAATATATAAGTTCAAGAAGAAAAAAGAAAAGAAAGAAAGAAAACAAAAGGTATGATCACACAGGTAATTATTAATCCACAAAGGGATAAAAGCAGGAACAAAAAACTTATAGAAGTATGCGACTAGGCTTGTAAACAAATCAATTTTTTTTTATTCAATTCGATATTCGAATTCGAATATGAATAATGTTTTATATTCGAAAGTTAAACGAATCAGAATTCAAATATATAGATATTCGATTCGAAATTCGAATATTCGATTCGTTAACATTAATTATATAAATTTTATAAATTATATATATACTATACATTTTGTTTATAATATATATGTATATATATATTGTTATATTCCTAATATTTTTATGACATAAAAAATAAAAATATAATATTTTTACTAAAAATATTTTCCCTAAAAATATATGGAAATATAAAAATTATTTTTGTAATTATAATATTTTTTTAATTATAATATTTTTCTGAAAACGAATTTCGAATCGTATCGAATATGTTCGAGTATTCTAAACAAATCGAATACGAATAAAAAACTGAGTTCGTTAACAAATCGAATACGAATTCGAATCCTCGAATATTTTAACGAATTCGAATCGAATATCTTAGTATTCGCTTTGATTCGATTCGTTACAACCCTATATGCGACATCATTATAATGATTATTACATGCAAATTATATTGAATACTTGCACAACAATAAACCACAAACTATTGGCGAGACTTACGACTTATAAATGGAAGCCAACTCAAGAAAGGGATGGATTTTCCAAACGCCTGGACCCACCACTCAGCACCTTACAAAGAAAGCCATTCAGACCCAATGCAGCTGCTTTATATTCACATCCACACATAACATAGAGATATAAGCTAAGATAGGGAGATCAAGTGATAGAAGCTGTACCAACAATAGCTGTGAAAAAATGAATCATATATATCAACATAAGACCTTCCGTAGGTCCATTTATAGCTGGAAGAATGAGGGTATGGGTGAAATAGCTGCACAAAAACCAAAAGGAAAAGGGTAAATTATCGAAAGCAAGCAATGAGTGTAGCTTAACAGGAAGCGCAGAACCAACTATTTGCAGAAAACATCTATGGAAGGATGCATGCAAAAGAAAAAGGATTAAATTACAGAATATCCACAAAAAAATGATTAATAATATTCTAGAAGTTGTTCATGAGCCGAGGTGATCTTGTTCAACATATATAGGAAGCATCTATGGCAAAATAATAATAGGCTTTCTCATAAAGGCTGCATTTAACCTGGGTAAGCTACAAAAAAAATCGTAACTGGAGAGAAATGATAACTTACCATCATTGGTATTTCCCATACAGAACATGCAAGACATAAGTTACACGTGGA